TAATACAGCCATTGCAGACTGGACCCACTCACACAACAGACCAGAAAGAAAGAAGACCTGGAACCTGGCATGTCACATACCCAACAATTTAGGCAAGAAATTGGGAACCTAGGTACCTAAAAAAGATAGATTAATACAGGAGGGTAGGGTGGGAGAGAGATTCTCATTGGAGATGAGCTTTAAGCAAAAGTCATTGCGGAATCTTACATGCTCTTGCTCTGTAGATACTAATACATACATTCAATTTTTTTGATCACACAAGCAGAATGTGAGCTTTCTGGGGTGTTCTGTATATAAACAGGGTGCTACCTCAGTTATTAGAAATAATAGTTTAAATTTTTTACATTCTGAAAAAATCATAGCTGGTTGTAGCTTGAAATAGAGGGGTATTTTTAAAAACGGGAATCTCTAAAAGAAAAAACCCTCCATATATTAGAATCCCATGTGCCAGCTAGTACTATTACAGCCCTATCTTTCCACATCTTAATGTTTCAAAGTAGATGAGTTACAACTCAATGGGGTTGATTTACTAAAGGCAAAAAGGTTGTGCACTGCAAGTGCAGTTGCTTTAGATCTGAAGGAAAGCTCTGAAATGAGGCGAAGCTCTGCTGATTTCTTTCATCTAATCATTTGCAAGCAAAAATGCTATTTTTATTTTCTTTTCATGTTCCCCTCAGATCTAGAGCAACTGAACTTTCAGTGCAACTGAACTTTCAGTGCACTTCCAAGTGCACTTGCAGTGCACAGCCTATTTGCCTTTAGCAAATCAATCACAATGTGTTTCACATTTGTAACAAATACCGCTTCTTCAGGAATACAGTGGAGTTCTATCTGAGGTGATTACAAGGGTCATAACATGATATATTACATATGACAGCAAGTCCTAATATTTTATATACATTCAATTAACATAGATCCCTTTTCTTCAAACAAAATTATTGTTTTTTTTGTAAAAATTATCTTTTCCCATGAATGGGAGCCTAGATGACAAAAGGATATATATATATATATATATATATATATTTGCAACTAGGGTCAACAGTTCCCGTCCCAACCAGGACACTATCTTTATGGCATTTGCATGTTCTCCCTGTACTTGCATGGGTTTCCTCTCGAACTCCAAAGACGTGCTTGTAGGTTAATAGGGACCTTGGATTGTAAACTCCATGAGGGCAGGGACTGCTGTGAATGTATATGTAAATTGTTGGAACTATGTGTAAAGTGCTGTGTGAACTGTAGGAGCTATATAAATACCTGTAATAAATACATTAAAATATGGATTTATTTTATTATTATACAGGATTTCTATAGCTCCAACGATTTGTGCAGCTCTTTATAAATTAGAGGGATACCATACAAATACAATGCAATCCAATACAAGAGGGATCAGGGGGTCCTGCTTGTGAGTTTGCAATCACATAACACTTTAACTAAATATATGTAAACTATAAGGACCAGGGGCGGACTGACAACTCATGGGGCCCCCGAGCAATAGGGGGTCATAGGGCCCCTGTGTCCTTGCACAAACTCAAAAAAGCCTATGAAAAAGGTACCAGGGGCATCTCATGGGGCCCCCTACTGACCCCGGGCCCTCGGGCAGTGCCCGAGTTTCCAAATGGTCAGTCCGCCCCTGATAAGGACTGCTGTGATATACAATATCTAATTTGTTCTTTCTGGAAATCATAACAGATAAACCTTAACTGTATTCCTGATGAAGCAGTATTTGTTACAACTGCAAAACACTAAGTTATAACCCATCTACTTTTGAATGAACATGAAGATGTGAAAAAGTAACAATTTAGTTCAATTAGAAATGCTGAAATTACTCTGTCTGGCCAGTGGTATATGGGATTCTAATATATGGTTGCGTAACATAACGTTATATGAAGTAAATATTTTTGTTACTATTATTATACAGGATTTATATAGTGCCAATAGTTTGTGCAGTACTTTACAATATAAAGGGAGAAAATACAGTTACAAAAATAAAAGAGGTTTAAGAGAGCCCTGCTCATAAGAGCTTACAATGTAGTAGAATGGGGCAAATGGTACCAAAGGTTATAACTGTGGGGGATGAGCTAATGGAAATGATAAAAGTTCAGTTAGCTGGAGATGTGATACGCTTTCCTGAAGAGTTGAGTTTTCAGGGATTGCCTAAAGGCAGCCAGAGTAGGAAATAGCTGGATAGACTTAGGTAGAGAGTTCCAGAGAATGGGAGAGGCTCTGGAGAAGTCCTAGAGGTGAGTATGGGAGGAGGAGATAAGGGAGCTTAAGAGCAGGAAGTCTTGAGAGGAGCAAAAGGGATTGTATGGGTGATATTTGGAGACAAACATGGTGATGTAGCTTCGGGGGGAAATTTGTAAATGGCTTTCTATGTTGTTAGTATTTTGATTTTAGCTAGCTGCGCAATCGGAAGCCAATAGAGGAATTGGCAGAGAGGGGTGACAGACACTGAGTGGTTGGTAAGGTAGATGAGTCTGGCAGCAGCATTCATGATACACTGAAGAGGGGATAGCCTATGGAAAGGTAGGCCTATGAGAAGGGAGTTGCAATAGTTAGGCGAGAGATAGCAAGGGAGTGAATGAGTAGCTTGGTGGTTTCTAGAGATGAGCGAATTATTCAAAAATTCGGTTCGACTGATTCGCCGAATTCGCCGAAAAATTCGATTTGATCCGAATATATTCGCCGCGAATTTAACTTATAAAAAGGGTGTTTCTAGGCTTCAGAGAGCCTTTATATTAGTGCAGAACACTGTACCTTTAATTTAAATGCCCTTGGAGTCTGCTGGGGAAGAGAAATAATACTGTCAGTCAGTATGACATGCAGATGAGTGCCGTCGATCTTAGAATCACCGCACACTTCACTCATTTGGGCAGTCACAGGGCCAAAACCAGAGTGTGGAGCCACAGTGTGGCGGTGGAGGCAGCAGCAATGGGAGGCCATACAGCACCCTATGACAAAATGGAACCCACCAGCAGTGTGAGGAGACCTGAAAGTGGCACATGGCAGAGTGTGGCGATGGAGACAACAGCAATGGGAGGCCGTACAGGGACCCATGACACACTCTGGACCTGGCAGCAGCATGAGAGGCGGTACAGGGGCCCATGACAGATTACGGGCCTGGCAGCAGCATGAGGAGTCGGTACGGGGGCCCATGGCAGATTACGGGCCTGGCAGCAGCATGAGGAGGCGGTACAGGGGCCCATGGCAGAGTGGCGGAGCGTAAGCAGCTAAAATTGAAGGCCATACAGAGGCCTATGTTAAAAAGTCCCCCCAGCAGCAGCGTGGGGAGACCACTATCAAGAGTCCAATGGCAGAGTGGCGGAGCAGAAGCAGCTTCAATTGAAGGCCATACACAGGCCTAGGTTAAAAAGCGGAAGCCGTCAGCAGCGTGAGCAGACGACAGAGACACATGGCACAGGGTGGCGGTGGATGCAGCAGTATTCGGAAGCCAAACACAGGCCTCGGTTAAAAAGCGGAAGCCGTCAGCAGCGTGAGCAGACGACAGAGGCACATGGCGCAGGGTGGCGGTGGAGGCAGCAGCAATGGAAGGCCATACAGCACCCTATCACAAAATGGAACCCACCAACAGTGTAAGGAGACCTGAAAGTGGCACATGGCAGAGTCTGGCGATGAAGTCAGCAGCAATGGGAGGCCGTACAGGGACCCATGACACACTCTGGACCTGGCAGCAGCAAGAGGAGGCGGTACAGGGGCCCATGGCAGAGTGGCGAAGCGTAAGCAGCTTAAATTGAAGGCCATACAGAGGCCTATGTTAAAAAGTCCCCCCAGCAGCAGCGTGGGGAGACGACTATTAGTCGTCTCCCCACGCTGATGCTGGGGGGACTTTTTAACATAGGCCTCTGTATGGCCTTCAATTTTAGCTGCTTACGCTCTGCCACTCTGCCATGGGCCCCTGTACCGCCTCCTCATGCTGCTGCCAGGCCCGTAATCTGCCATGGGCCCCCGTACCGACTCCTCATGCTGCTGCCAGGCCCGTAATCTGTCATGGGCCCCTGTACCGCCTCCTCATGCTGCTGCCAGGTCCAGAGTGTGTCATGGGTCCCTGTACGGCCTCCCATTGCTGCTGTCTCCATCGCCACACTCTGCCATGTGCCACTTTCAGGTCTCCTTACACTGTTGGTGTTTCCATTTTTGGGTTCCATTTTGTGATAGGGTGCTGTATGGCCTTCCATTGCTGCTGCCTCCACCGCCACCCTGCGCCATGTGCCTCTGTCGTCTGCCAGGTCCAGAGTGTGTCATGGGTCCCTGTACGGCCTCCCATTGCTGCTGACTTCATCGCCAGACTCTGCCATGTGCCACTTTCAGTCTCCTTACACTGTTGGTGGGTTCCATTTTGTGATAGGGTGCTGTATGGCCTTCCATTGCTGCTGCCTCCACCGCCACCCTGCGCCATGTGCCTCTGTCGTCTGCTCATGCTGCTGACGGCTTCTGATTTTTAACCGAGGCCTGTGTTTGGCTTCCGAATACTGCTGCATCCACCGCCACCCTGTGCCATGTGTCTCTGTCGTCTGCTCACGCTGCTGACAGCTTCCGCTTTTTAAACCTAGGCCTGTGTATGGCTTTAGAATAATGCTGCCTACACCGCCACCCTGCGCCATGTGCCTCTGTCGTCTGCTCACGCTGCTGCCAGGTCCATACTGATTCATGGCCCCCTGTACCGGCTCCTCATGAACGTGTTCAGCGGGTTTGCATCACTTAACGGCAAATCGTTGACAAACGCTGGGACGTTCAGTGTTGTGCACATTAAGCCAGTCGTCGACTATCAAGAGTCTAATGGCAGAGTGGCGGAGCAAAAGCAGCTTCAATTGAAGGCCATACACAGGCCTAGGTTTAAAAGTCCCTCACAGTTAATTCCAATAACGAACTCTACTCCTCTGTGCAATCTACTTACGAGACCCTGGGCAGGTCTGGGTCCAATTTGTGGTAGAGACTGGTTTTGTTCAGCCATGCTTGAGCGAGTAATAACAGGTCTGTGCTGCCCTTTGGTGTCTGGCTTAATGCGCACAACACTGAACGTCCCAGCGTTTGTCAACGATTTGCCGTTAAGTGATGCAAACCCGCTGAACCACGTTCATGAGGAGCCGGTACAGGGGGCCATGAATTAGTATGGACCTGGCGGCAGCGTGAGCAGACGACAGAGGCACATGGCGCAGGGTGGCGGTGGATGCAGCAGTATTCGGAAGCCAAACACAGGCCTCGGTTAAAAAGCGGAAGCCGTCAGCAGCGTGAGCAGACGACAGAGGCACATGGCGCAGGGTGGCGGTGGAGGCAGCAGCAATGGGAGGCCGTACAGGGACCCATGAGAGACTCTGGACTTCGCAGCAGCATGAGGAGGCGGTATAGGGGCCCATGGCAGATTAGGGGCCTGGCAGCAGCTATGGGAGGCCCGTAATCTGCCAGCACCCTATGACAAAAAATGGAACACACCAGCAGTGTGTGAGGAGACCTGAAAGTGGCACATGGCATGAGACACTGTGGACCTGGCAGCAGCATGAGGAGGCGGTTCAGGGGCCCATGGCAGATTAGGGGCCTGGCAGCAGCTATGGGAGGCCCGTAATCTGCCAGCACCCTATGACAAAAAATGGAACACACCAGCAGTGTGAGGAGACCTGAAAGTGGCACATGGCAGAGTGTGGCGATGGAGACAGCAGCAATGGGAGGCCGTACAGGGACCCATGAGACACTCTGGACCTGGCAGCAGCATGAGGAGGCGCTATAGGGGCCCATGGCAGATTAGGGGCCTGGCAGAAGCTTTGGGAGGCCCGTATTCTGCCAGCACCCTATGTCAAAAAAATTGAACACACCAGCAGTGTGTGAGGAGACCTGAAAGTGGCACATGGCAGAGTGTGGCGATGGAGACAGCAGCAATGGGAGGCCGTACAGGGACCCATGAGACACTCTGGACCTGGAAGCAGCATGAGGAGGCGCTATAGGGGCCCATGGCAGATTAGGGGCCTGGCAGCAGCTATGGGAGGCCCGTAATCTGCCAGCACCCTATGACAAAAAATGGAACAGACCAGCAGTGTGTGAGGAGACCTGAAAGTGGCACATGGCATGAGACACTGTGGACCTGGCAGCAGCATGAGGAGGCGGTTCAGGGGCCCATGGCAGATTAGGGGCCTGGCAGCAGCTATGGGAGGCCCGTATTCTGCCAGCACCCTATGTCAAAAAAATTGAACACACCAGCAGTGTGTGAGGAGACCTGAAAGTGGCACATGGCAGAGTGTGGCGATGGAGACAGCAGCAATGGGAGGCCGTACAGGGACCCATGAGACACTCTGGACCTGGCAGCAGCATGAGGAGGCGCTATAGGGGCCCATGGCAGATTAGGGGCCTGGCAGCAGCTATGGGAGGCCCGTAATCTGCCAGCACCCTATGTCAAAAAATGGAACACTTTTTGGCAATTTCCGCACCTGTCTTGGATAGGACGGGTTAATTCGGTGAAAATGACCATCTTGCCGAAATTGTTGTATTATTTTCGCACACTCCCGGTGCGGGTTCCCCCTCATTTTCTTCGGTTGCTTCAGGCGAAGTTAATGCGTTTTATCTGGGCCGATAAGCACCCCAGAGTATCCAAAAGTACGCTTTTTGCCCATAGACTTCAGGGTGGTCTTGGGGTGCCTAATGTGACTAAGTATTATCAAGCGAGCCAGATTGCCCCGCTGTCTATGTTGCACGCCTCTTCCGACGTCCCCCTCTGGATCCTGTTGGAACTACCTAATTGTGCCCCTATCGCACTGTCGACGCTTCTATGGCTTCCCCCTGCCCTGCGCCCTATGGCACTGAGTCCGATGTTACTTCATGGCCTACAAGTTTGGGACTCGGTACATTATTCTGGTGGTCTGATGTCACCTTTTCTGCCTTTGCTACCTATTATAACAACCCTCTTTTCCCGCCGGGTTTGGATCACCCAGGGGCGTTTTCTTGGTGGGTGACTAATGGTTTTTTCGCAGGTGCGACACTTTTTTGATTTTTCGGTCCTTTCCCACCTGGGACTCTCTTCGGGAATCCCGGAATATCCCCCCAGCGGAATTTTTTCGATATCTTCAATTGCGACACTGGCTGCTCTCGCTGCGGGGTACTTCTGCGTTCCCGTACCAGAAATCTGCCTTTGAACAGCTTTGCCAACAGCGTCCGGGCGCTCCGGGCCTTATATCCCTTCTTTATGCAGCTCTGAACAGACGCTCATCGCATACTTCTCTTTCATATGTTGTTCAGTGGGAGCGCGACCTGGGAGTGGCTGTGGATCCGGAGGACTGGAATAAGGCCTGGTCACTCATAGCTAAATGCTCATTTAATACGACCACACTGGAGGCAGCCTATAAGGTTTTGTTTCGTTGGTACTGGGTTCCGGCTCGGTTGGCCCGGGCTAACCCTGCCTGTAGTGATCGATGTTTTCGGGGTTGTGGTCATCGTGGTGATGTATTGCATATCTGGTGGTCATGCCCGAGACTGTTTCGTTTTTGGTCTCGTGTATTTGGCCTCCTTTTCACTTTGTTCCATCTCTCCATACGCCGGGATGTTCGGTATGCTTTGCTTCATTGCCCCATACCGGGCCTCTTGGCTCACCAGCAGAAGTTGGCTTCCTATCTGTTTTTATCAGCCACTAGAACAATTGCTCAGGCCTGGAAGAGTCCGTTTGTCCCTCTTCAGGGGGTGCGGGATCGTATGACCACTATGATGCTCAACGAACACATGTCGAGTATCCACAATGACTCCCAACGTAAATTTTTGAAAATATGGGAGCCGTGGTTGCAATATACCCTTCCCTCACTCTCCCCGGCTAGTCTGGGGATGTAATGGCGTTCGGTGTTGGCGCTCTTGAATCCCTGCTCTTTGCCCCCCTTTTTTTTTTTTTTTTTTTTTCTTTCTTTTCCTTTTTCTCTCTCTCTCTGTTTTTTGGTGTGACTAGGACAGCTGCATTTAGTTGTTATAATCAGTTACATTAATGTTTTGTAACTTATGTGCCTTTGATAGCCCCTGCGTGGGCGTACCTTTTGCCCTGTTGGCTTTAGAGCATTGTTTTTCCCCTTTTTTTTAATTTGGCATTTTGTTTATCTGTGCAATTGATAGCCCCTGTGTGGGCGTGTTTTTACTGCCTCTGTTTATACTGTTTAAAAAATTTAATAAAAACCATTGAAATAGAAAAAATGGAACACACCAGCAGTGTGTGAGGAGACCTGAAAGTGGCACATGGCAGAGTGTGGCGATGGAGACAGCAGCAATGGGAGGCCGTACAGGGACCCATGAGAGACTCTGGACTTCGCAGCAGCATGAGGAGGCGGTATAGGGGCCCATGGCAGATTAAGGGCCTGGCAGCAGCTATGGGAGGCCCGTAATCTGCCAGCACCCTATGACAAAAAAATGGAACACACCAGCAGTGTGTGAGGAGACCTGAAAGTGGCACATGGCATGAGACACTGTGGACCTGGCAGCAGCATGAGGAGGCGGTTCAGGGGGGCCCATGGCAGATTAGGGGCTCTGGCATCAGCTTATGGGAGGCCCGTAATCTGCCAGCCACCCTATGTCAAAAATGGAACACACCAGCAGTGTGTGAGGAGACCTGAAAGTGGCACATGGCAGAGTGTGGAGCGATGGAGACAGCAAGCAATGGGAGGCCGTACAGGGACCCATGAGAGACTCTTTTCTGGACTTCGCAGCAGCATGA